GAAAAAAAGAACTTTATAATTTCTCAAGTATATAGAATTGTTTATAACTTTGATCGAAACTGTCAACAAGATGCGTGCGCTTCGAGTAACCAATCGTGAAACGTGACTTGCTGTCAAATGGCTCATCAAATCAGGGATTATAAACAACGGACCACGTTCTTTTGTTTCGACAATTAGAGACATCTGTCGATTGCAATCTCTTCCGTGAAAGAAAACGACAGTGCATGAATGAGAAGTTAAAAATATACCAAATTATATGCGTCCGATGGATCTTTTAGGCGCAACTGTATAATGTAAATTGTTTCCGCATGAATTAATAAACAGCACGTATTGCCGCACTGTCAATACGCTCTTCAAGATTATCACGTTGCTAAGTTATGTCAAGATATGAAACATAAAAATTAAATATACTTATTCGCCGTCATGAGCATCGTCTCTTTGAACACAATTTAATTCATACATAAATCCGAAATTTTTTTTATTGTTTATAAAAGATTGCATTTTTATTTAATAAAGATTATATATTAATTTCTTCTACTGTAATAAAAAATTAACGTTACAAAACAAATTTAATATATCTTATGATTAATATATGCATTATATAATACTTTATACTCTTTTATACGGATCAATTTATCTGCTACATAAAAACGTTAATAATTTTTAAAACATACAACAATTTGTTATGAACGATTATTAGTGATATGTTGTCTACTGCATTGATTTTGAATTGTTTTTAAGTTACCGTGCAGTAAATCTTATTAATTTTATTTTTTATTTTGTAAAAAAAGGTAAAACTATTAACAGAGTTATGAAATGTAAAAGAGATAAAATAAATAGATTTCAATCATACACTTTGTTGACAATAAAAAATACGCGTAGATTAAAATTAATCGCACTTTGACGTCAAAACGAAATTACATTTAATGATTTTCAAGAATGGCAGGAATTGATACAAAATTGTAAAATAATTAACGAAATAACTATAATCTTGCGAATCCTTTCTTTCTTTCTTTCTTTCTTTCGTGCAAAATCTCTTTTGTCTGTGGATTTGTATCATTATCGCGGATGCGTAGAAATTTTCTGTTATTTGGTATTATTATTATTATCCCGTTGAACAAGGCAGTCAAGCGTTAATAAGTCAAAATAAACTTGTTTTTCAAAGATGTGTAATACGATATAAATTAAGAATTCAATGATAAAACATTAGTCAGTTATTGTTATTGACAGTAATTAAGGCATAATAACATAAAGAAGATAGACAATATTAATTACGTTCATAGGAGATATTAATTAACATATGCTTTTAACATGCTTCTTCTTTTCTTGTCAATTTCGTTTTTGTGCACTAATTTTTATTATTATAAATTCAAATTTTATTTTTCAAAAAATGTTTACATTACTTTTCAACTACTTATATTGATATAAAAAGATATACTTTTAAAACACTCTCATTTAAAATATAATCATTTTCTTTGATGTTCATAAAAACAAACAAAAGTTCGGACGTATATATCTTTTCTTAAATATTTTTTATATTATATTATAGTTATGACACAAATAACCTCATATTTGGTGTAAAAGTTACTGTACATAAAATGTGTATCTTTTATTCATGGATACACAGAAATATTCTTTTTCCGGTACATATTCAAAGCGTGAAAGAATTCGATTGTTTGTTTAGTTGTTTTCTGCTCCTTCTTCGGAAAGGAGCTATTATATCCGCGACAAATTACATACTGCGAATTTAACCAGCGGTGCAAGTGCACTTTGCGATTTTTGCAATTATGTTGGTATGTATATTGTATAGTCGTGTAAAAATTTTTACCGCAAAATTTTCAATGTTGCAATCCGGGGAAAGTCAATATCTTGCGCAAAATTAAAACAGAGTTATTTGATCGAAATGGTCCGCAGTTACAGTTTTCGGTCCAGCCCTCGCCTTTTTTCCGTATTCGTGAATTGTATCATGCAGTTTTACCGGTTCATTCAACGTACGTAATTACGCACTCGCATCTCAAATTGCTCGATTTAGATTGAGTTTCTATCGCATTGGAAAGACTGCGTTTTTCTTCGTCGAAAAACCGAGTGCAATTTATTCATGATACACGCAAGAACATTTATTCGTAAAACGCAGACACGCATCAGGACCACCGCTAATGTAAGGCGTCTTTGTGCAAAAGGGATTTTGCCCTCTCAATATAATATTTTTATTTGCCAATCTCTTAAATAAGAATATATATATTTTTAAAAATAATTTTTTAAATATCTTTAGAGAAAATATAATATTTTTTTTTATTATTCTAGAATATAGATCATGTATTTTTTTTCTAGGACAAAAATGTAAAAAGTAAAAACTTTTACTGTTAAAAGTAATAGAAAATTTTTCATTTTTCATATATTTCTCATAGAAAAAAAATACATGATTGTAAATGGCTTAGTATAGTTCTATATAATACTGACAGATTTTAATAAAAGTATTTAATAGCGTTAGAAAATAAACACAAATATTTAATCCGATATAATAAATATACCTACATATCTCGGAAATAAATTAAATAACCAAAGCACACAATTAGCGTTAAAAATGGAGAAAATTATTTGATTTTAATTTGACACCCTTTTCCATACAACGCGCTTTTGTGCAGGGTATAACTTGCATACCTTGAAGCGGGTCAGTCCCTGCACGCATTCCTTTTCGGGGATTTCCCGACTTATCTCGAAGAGAACAGGTACTATACGCATTTTATATAATATACATACAACAATCTTTCCTCCTTCGTAAATATATACTGTTTTTTTAATTGATTTTATACATTTCGTTTTAGAATGAAACCTGGAACTCTCATAGAATATGTAAAATAACGACCCGATTAAATCTTATTCATTGATTTTTTTTTTCGGAATGTACCTTTTCTAAATTCAGATTTAAAATTATCATAATATTTGCATAATTACTAAAAAAGGTTTGATATGTATCGATATATATCATATAACTATAAAAGTGTGAATATTCTTTAAATTGTTTAATCTAAAATAAACCCTAAAAAAAGTTATAAAAGTTTTTATTATTTCTAAAATATTATTACAGATTCTTTTTATAAGTAACGTTATTTCTATATAAGGTTTGAATAATTGTTCAATTAGTATGAATAAAAAGACATCATTAACATTAAGAATTTTTTTCTGTAACACTTATTTTAGCTGCTGTTTATATAAACGAATATAATATATATAACATTATACAATGTAAATTTGATGAAATTTTAGATTAAAGAAAATAAAAAAGAAAACGAGAATTCTTCTTAGTTGGAAAGAACGTAATGTTGAGAAAGGTATCTGAAGTCACCCTGACAAAAAGATAAAAATCAGAGCGTAAGTCGAATGTAAGGAAGAGTGACAGCACAAATGAAGCTTCTAAAAGACGAAAATTGAGACAACGAAACGTGAAAGGTGTTTACTCTTCTTTTACTCGTCTCAATTTTCACCTTCTAGACGCTTCCTTTACGCTTCTTTCACTGTTTCTATATTTGATTCACGTTTCAATCTTTTAATTTTCTAATTTAATTCACTAAGTAGAGCAATACTATGGAGCGTTGTAATTATTCATTTTAAATCATTGAATGTGTATTCAGCACCACGGATCACTGAACTCCTATTGAGCAAACAATGAATGTGTTTATTTATTATATAATATTCATACATACATACATACAATATATATAGGCCCGTATTCAGAACGCGCTAACAACGATGTTAGCGCGCTAACATGCTTATATAGTTTACGTCGCTTTTAAGCGCGCTTTTATCGATAAAAGTGCGTTCTGAATACGGGCCAATATTAATGCAGAATAACTTATCTAGTATAGATAATCTTTACTATTATATTTCTTATTTACAAGTAAGAAACAATGGTATTCTAAGAATGGATTGGACATGGACACAACCCACGAAACACATAATTTTTTAAACATATTATGCTCATTGAATGTTCAGTGTGAGCGATTCTTAGTACTGAGTGCACTCATTAGTTGTAGAATTGTGAGTGATTGAATATAGCATAATATATGTACTATACATAAATATGTATATTATTATAATATACATCAAGAACATATTGCTACATTGATAGAACAATGATACAAGTAAAAAAGTAGCATTTTAAGAAAAGATTATAACAAGAAATTAACTCTAAAGTCTTTAGAGATGATTTCCTTTTATTACCTCAAAAATACTAATTCCTAATTGTATTACTTTTCTATAAACGATATATCTGATATATTCTTTTAACCTTGTGTTTAATATTAATTGTTTAATTATTATTGTAAAATGCAATATTTGACTCAAAATTTATAACATTAATACAAAAATAACTCATTAAATATCTTTGGATTTTAATAGCTCAGAATGATTATCTGCACTGCACTGTCTAAATCATAGAAGAGAATTGGAAATAGACCGAAACGTGTTGCGTGTCTTCCGCATATCTGTATATTTTAATGCTTTCGTTAATACTTAGTTACGGTAAGTCATTATGCATTTATTACTGCTTTTAGATAGCGCCAGTTTTTCACTTATTATTTCGTTCCGCGCAATTTAGGATTCAATCTGTCACGAGGCTGTCAATTTAGAGCTATTTCGACTTACAATTAGAATTTTCATATTTATATAATTACAATAAGCATCTCAAATATACGATTTGGAAGATATTCTTTCTCACGGATTAACTTCCGTGTAAGAGTAAAACAAATTTCGCATTTATGAAAATAGCAACTGTGCCACATTAAAATTCATAGTTCTTTATATTCTACTCTCTACGTTTTCTGCTTCTCTATATTCTTCCTCCGTATGTACATGAAAATCTTACTGTTACCTTTATATTTATTACATAGCATTTATGTAGCCTCGAATCTGTCGGATTGTCGGGCAGGTTGTTGTCCCCGCGAGAAATAAAATAACGCTCTTCGTTACCCGACCCTGAAACGAGTCTTCCTCGTACTTACTTTTCGACCATTTTTGTCTGCTGTCGGAACGCACTGGTAAAGCGGCGTTGAAGAATTTGTTCACCACCACCGAGGACTTTCTTTGAAGGTTCGCCAAAGTCCTTGTCTCTTCTTGTTCGACTTGTTTCTCAATATTAGGGTTGATATTCACTGACGAATATATTTGACGACGCGACAAGGTGTTCCAGATCACCATAAGATCTTTCATGTTTGCAGCGCAATTAAGTCTGCTGCTAAGCGAAATATGATATGACGAGGGGAAGCTTTTTAGTTTTAGCTATTTACGATCTATTGTCGATGATTGAGTAGTAACGGCAGGCCACGGCCGACGATAAAGACAGATCTTCACTTCAGGCTCGATGACAACTTGCGGCTCTCACGTCGCGGTTTGTAATGCCATGTAATTTCAACTAGAGTTGCCCACCAATTGTGTACGCGTAATTTCAACACTCGATTTTTGGTCCGAACTTCGGCTAGACACCCTTCACTTTCTCCCGCGCTGTTCGATGTGCGGCCGATATCTTACAATGCTGTCTTTGGGTATGATCCTTTCCGGTCACTATCAAAACTTTTGTTAAAACTTATTCAGGTTTGAAGAATCCGCGATATGATTTTGAAAAATCATATGAAAAACAATGCGTTTTGAGATAATATTGTTCGACGAATAATATTGTTTTAATTCCAACGGATGTTTCAGGTTTGAAACTTTTGTCAGTTCAAGAAGAACTTTGCGCGATACTTCGCCGGTCGCTCAAAGTCGTAACTTTTGTCTACTTCTGACCGACTTTGTCTATACCACCTGTCGTAGGTCACCTCAATTCCTCGTGCCGGTGCGGTGCGTACGGCATACGTCTCAGTGCAAGAGTGGCAGTGCGAATCAGTACAGATTTGAAAAATATCGCGCTCCCACTACATTTGTTACCACGCTTGTCGCTGGTCGTCATGGTGGTGGCGACCGGTAAGCACGTCAGGTGCCATCCAATCGGGTCACGAAGTTGCAGCCCCACCGCGAGGAGCTTGTGGTACCCGCTAGCCATAGGATTTTAATGGATCATCGACTTTTTGGTCGGAGGGAGGCGATATCTCAAGGTCATTGAGCGGTCAAGAGACGCTCGTGTTTCAGGATAATACCATCTGCCCTTTGCAGTCGTGATCACTTCTTGGAATTATTGAATCTACCAAGATCGACCTTGCTCTGCCTGCGACGATAGAATCATATTCTATACGGACTTGTTTATGATTGAAAAGTATAATATACATATTATGCTCTTTACTTCCGAATTAAGAAACTATGGCAATGAGAGCGTTTTTATTAAGCGATATAAATTAAAGAACAGAAGATAAAATAATTTTATTTTTTATCAATTAATTAAAACTCGAACGAAATCGTTATCTTACTTCAAAACGCAATTTAACAAATAAAGTTTTTCAGAAGAGGAAAAATTATTTCACAACTTAACACAGAAAATTATTAATAATTAAATAATGTATTAGCAAAAAGTATAATAATAGAAACATAATCAAATATTATTTTTGACATTTTTTTCCTTTCGCAATTCTTAAAAAACTACTTTTTTAGAGGTAATAGTTTTGATATCTTTGATATCTACAAAATTATGACAAATCCAAAATAATTGATCAAAAATGACATAAATATCAATAGTTTATGTTTATGTTGATTGTAAAATAATTTAAATTTAAAATAAAACAATTTTTTTCTTCAATTTGACCATTAAAATTCTAAATATTTTCTGTAAAATATTTTTTTTTACTTCTTTTAAATTACAGAAACTATACAACCCAAAATGTATTATTCATGTAGAAGATATATTCAAGGTACTATGATCTCTTTGAAAATCTTAAAATCAACACAAGTATTATTTTGTGTGAACCGTGAAATTATTTATCTGTTAGTTAATTTACTTCTGACAATTGATATAGTAATTTTTATGTAACTTATCCATGGTAATAATTTAAAAATCACATTCTTTTAGTTGTATTACTTTTGAAATATAAAAGAACGAGACGATGTTATAATTTCAAAAACGCTCCTATTCTGGAGAAAGTACAACGATTAGGTATATAACCACAGTCCGATGGATTAAAGGTATTACAAAATTGAAGTAAATTGAGGTATTGCAAAAGTGGCTGCGAGTTTAATTTAAAATGTGATTTATCTTCCAATTTTATTCACTCTCGATTATTCCACTTATGAGTTAACTTACGTTGATCTAAAATAATTATTCCATCGTTTAACTTCATTTTACGTCATACATACAAAATTACATGTTTACATACGTATTAATGTTTTACATAATTATATATTATGTACTATTGCGCAAATTGTGTTTTTACTTTATAAACTAAAGAATAATAAATATTGTGTATAATATCATACATATCACATTGACATTACGATATCGAATTGATAAGATGCCCTCATGGAGTTCGAGAGAACCTGATTCAAATCCCAACTGAGGTAACATTTTTTATGATAAATTATTATTTACAATTATTTAGAGATGCTTATTAGAGATCAGTAATATTAAATTGCTTGTCAAATTAAAATTAATAAGTTATGATAGTATTCTAGCTTTAATCTAAGATTTTTTTTGTTCAGGGCGGCTATGCCGCTCCGAACCGAAGCACTATTGTCCACACATGGGTTGTGATTTATTTGGAATAGAATAATTGTTAAATACGTATACATTTTTTGTTAACTTTTTTACTATTTTATATATATTAATATATGGGTTGCTAAGCAGCAAAAAAGTTAACAAGAAATGTACACATATATATATATATATATATATATATATATATATATATAATATAGAATTACAAAGTTTTTTTTTGAGAGAAACTCTGTGTTGAGAAAAGAATCTGTGAAAATTAAAACATTTAAAGAAAGAGAGCAAAAGTAAATATGACATTAAAATGCGATTGGAAAACTAATTTAAATATATTTTGATAATCGTTAAATAATGTAACGAATAGAAAAAAATATTTCCGGTGTTATGCAATCGACGGCTTAGCCTCGATCAGTAGTAAGAGGAACAGCTTAGAATTAATTGACGTCTATTGTTCCTTTCACTACCGCTCGAAATTCGACAATCGAATCACCGATTGCACGTGTGATACAGCAAAAAAATTTTCTATTTTTTGCATTTTATTTAACTTAACAAAATATATTTTAAATCAGTTTTGCAAACGTATTTTAATGTCATATTTTTGCTCTTTTCTGAAATGTTTCAATTTTCACAGCTTTTTCATTATTTTTCTTAATTATTTAAAAAATTTAACGTGTAACGTTTTATGAATTTGAATACAATAACCTAAAATTTATAAGAGACCTTCTCTTGGTTTGAGTTTATCTTAAAACTTCTTTGTGATCCTGTGTTTATTTGTGTTAGATATTTTTAAATTGGAACAGATAAGTCAAAATTTATTATCAACATCAAAGCTTTTCTATTAATGTTTATATTTAATAGAGTTTTTATTACACGTATAATATGTGATTAAGTGTGAATTATGAGATACTTGAAGCTCAATATACATAATAAGATCAGTTACCATTTGTGTCATAATAAATTTTCATCTGAAATTGTTTAATTTAATTATGTATACATAACGATTCTGCCAATTGCAGTTGACTTTTTACGATGCTACTGGCAAGGAAATCAATGCTGCAATTTCTCAAGAAGCAGTCGTAACTGGTCAATAGTACTTATTATACAATTAGGATCAATCATACGTCGCGACGAAGCGCAGTAAGTACATGCACCGAGCATGTACATACCAGCATACTTCCGCATCGTGTTTTTTAAAGAGAAAAACTATTCCGATATAACTACTGAAGAAAATAGAAATATAATTGAAGTGTAATCTTCGACTCACGACATTGACTGTAAAATCTTCGATGCTGACGTTGCATGTATCGCCACTGTTAAATTAATTCGACCGCGAACAACGCATGAACAACGTCCTTGCCGATCCCGTTCCCGCAAGTTCGTGCAGGCCGACGTCATTGAACGCGTATGATGAATAACAATGTGTATCATGATTTTTTTTTTTACGATCCGGTACTTTGAGCTATAGCGGCAAACCGGTAACATTCATCGATTCCGTGTTGGGAGATTCCCCGACCGGAATCTCCAGCGATTTATCGCGAGTCATCTTTTGGAAAATTAGTGTGCATGTTATTTCCCCATTTACTGGCCATTCCGTTTACTCATTTCCATATACGTTGATTAAGAACGCTCATGATTAACTTGTCGAGTATGCTTTAAATACGAATACGAGTATTTTAAGGTTAGATAAATTAAATACATACAATAAAGGTTCTAAAAAAACTAGGTTAACAATCTATTGGAGTCGACTAATTGATTATTAATACGTAGAAATATGTATATACATGTTATTTATATATATTGTAGTACACACATATATATGTATATATTTATATTATGTATCACAAATTAAAGGTATAGACTGTTGGAGCAAAAAATTGCCGTAGGCGAAGGATTTTACATTGTCATGATGGAGTACTGGTAAAAGTTTTTAATTAATAATAATTACACCTCTAGAACTTCATTATTACGTATCTTCATTGATTACGTATCCAATACAAGTAAAATCAAGTCAAATTCTATATATTGTATAAGTCTCTGTAATTATTATATTATAATAATAGTGTAAATTATATCATAAATTGAATATTTATAAGGTCATAAAATATAATTTTTAAACAATTGGACGTTTTTATCAAATAAAATTAACTGCCAACTTTGAATTTAAATTCTCTTCGTGCGGAAGTTATATATTGATTACTTACGATACCGCTACTGTGCAAAGTTACTTTCACCAATGTTCTTACTGATGCGATGACATGGCATACCATCAGCTATAGCAATTTTTTACATCGACAGTATGTACGTTTAATTTGTAGTAATTGTATATTCTTAAGCACTAATAACTGCGTCGACTCTAATAAACTTTTATTATACCTAGTTTTATCATTTAGAAACATTTATTAGAGTGAGTTTATGTTGGAGCTATGTTAGAAGCTATAAGAGCGGTGAATAATGCTAATCAAATCTATCTTTTTTTAATGTGTTTATAGTGATATTTGTGATGATAGTATTATATATCTTTATAATGTACAAAAATATCATTGGATTAGTGAAAAGTCCGAGTCCTGTAAATTTT